TTACTTAAAGTGATCTTAGTTCAGTCTCATTGCCTGACTTTGTTACTATTTAGAAACATTACCTTACCTTCATTGAATACGTCTGATTCGAAGTCGATCTTCTTTATATCCCACTTCTCTCTAGACTTTACTTTTCGTCCTTTGTTTTGTTGCTCAGTGCTAGCTGTTATTTTTCCCAAATAACTCGTTAAGCACGTAATCGACAACTTTTGGATATGCTACCGCCCCAAAGACACTGTTTAAAATTAAATCACAAGAGAAGCAGAAAAAGTGAGGTAACGAAAAGTGTTTGAGTTAACAAGACAGCTCTGCTGGTGGTTACCTCTTACATGCACAGTTTGACGTCCTTCGACAGGTGATTATCATATCACCACAGTGATCGAGCGCCTTTCTCACCAAGTGTCCTGTAATAGCTAACAATTTCAGTTATTTAGGTCGTTAAACTCTGCGACAGTGTGTTTTCTTCAATTTGAAAAAACCTCTTAAAAAGTAGTCGCTCACTTTAATGAAACCATGGCATACGTGAGGTTAATGATTGGAAGCTTATGTGTCGAGGTTTGCGCATTATGCAATGATCGGATCGTAGTTCCACCCCCCTTTTGCATTCACACTTCTCCGCCTGTCGGTGAACGGTTTTTACAGAATCTATTTATAAATGTAATAACGGCGAAACAACGCTTGTAATATTCAGAACGTTTTGCATCAACGCGGGTCCACTTGTTTACATGCTCACTGGATTTTTCAGTATTGTTTCTTGTTAGTATATGAAGCCGAAAACAAATCTGCACCGTGAAAGTGTGCAACTCTTCCGTATTTGCGTAGTTGACGGTTAAGCAAATACTTTCAGAATGAATGGATTTCGTTATATAATTCTTCTCGTCTCGACACTATCGATGACGTTCATCTACAGTAATCGTATTGTTTTTGGATTCACGGTTATATGTCAAGTTCCGGAGAATAACACAGATAACGGTACGTACACTACTACTGTCACAAAGACTTCCATCGATGTTACAGAATTAATGCGACTGGTATAGAACCATACAACATGTGACCAGATTGGCTTCCATGTAATCATATTCATATGTCTGATCATTGATGTGTGCGTGCGAACTCCTACGTCCCGTGCAGAGATAATCATAATTTTTCGCATTTAAGTGAAATAGAGGTTTACCAGGCACGGATCCAGTCAAAATGGTAGACTCATTCTCCGTGGACAGAGTTGTGTCTATTGGGTAGCTCTAGTTTGAGAAATGGGAAGTTTGCTGCTGTACGCCTGAAATCCTTGATAGTTAACAAGATCATAGATTTAACAGAAATTCCTGCACTGAACATCTAGTTACAGTCTGAGGGAGAACTGGTATTTACAAAGCTTTTCTTCTTGCTTTGTTCTTTTGTTCTGGAAGCGGAGCCATGGAGTGACATTAGAGCTTGTCGTTCACAAATCTTCGTGCCTTCTTCCGCCACCCTTTATTATTAAAAACGAAACTACTGTTTAATACACAACAAGTTTGCATAATCCCCATTCTGTTGGGAACACTAGATGGGAAAATTTAACAACTACTGTCCTTATTTGCTAACATAAATTGAATCCGTGTTTTTGGCATTATTCGTTGATCTGAGTTCACTTTAAATGCCTCAGAATGAAGTGGAAGCACTGATAAAGAACAATCGTAAAGAGATGGAATAACATGACCCCATCTTAATTTTAGACTTTGTGTTTCCCTCCTTTCCAAAATATGACATGGGTAGAACATTTCGTAACCATGATTTTATAACTTCGGCTTCCTTTCTTTTCCAGCTACAATGTCCCAAGCACTCAAATGTCGCATAGAAGCTGTTTTTCGGTATTCTACAGAGAAAAGTTTCCTGTTTACAACTAGCACTGATCTCAGGTTACTTCCTCGCTGACTCGTCAATAAAAGCATGGATGTTCACGGTGACCGCAGTTGGTATGTGTTTCGGTCCAATCCCGCTCTATTGGGCTTATGCGCTTAATACCAGGTTTGCAACATAAGGAATAATTCTATGCAAAAAACAGTATGAGGGTTTCAGTGGAAATTCTTGTGCGACTTTCGATCCGTGCATTCAACACCTCAAGTGTAGCGATTTACTTGTTTACACTGATTTCAGAGCTTGCTGAAATGTGCAGAAGAGTGAATTTCACATTTCGAATAATTTCTAAGATCAACCACTTTGGTGAAGCTATGCTAGCAATATAAAGGCGCGTGTGGCGTAGTGCTCGGAGGCGCTCTGCAACACACATCTGGAGTCGATCCCGCGCCCATGGCCCACCATGCCTTCCATAGCTCCAGGGTGGGCAAATTGGTATCAGACTTGTCTGGAAGGATAGGAGCACGCGCTCAATACATTGGTAAACCACCACAACTCGTTGGAAAGGGCAGATATGCATTCCATCACCTCCAAACGGTGAATATTGATGTCGAATTCATGGTGCATCCTTCAGGGATTAACCAATAGCGAAAGCTTTTTTATACTAGTAATATAAGTCTTTTATTGATGATTTAAGTTTTTGATCCTTTTTAGAAAAACATTTCAGGATTTTAATTCTTGCATATGGCATAATATCTACCGTGGCCACAGTGTTCTATCCATTAGCTGATCGTTTGGGATTATGGCCATCACTTGTGGCTCGATTTTTATCGGTGAGTTAGGTTTGCTCTGACAGTAACTTGTATGGCTAGTTCTCTCTAGTTTCGGTGCCACAACTCAACTCTAATTTGCAAACATATATCTTTTTCACCAAATATTCATCCTTCCTCGGATTCGCAAGGCAATGGTTCAACGTTCTTCCAATTTCTTGCCATCGTTCTCATTTTTTGTTGTCGTTATGTTTGCCGCCTTACAAGAAAAGTGCTTCGATGGAACAACATCGATCGCTTAGAAAACACTGAATGTAAGCCCTTTAAATGTCTTTCACAGGCATCTTTCATACGATCAGTTTTCTCATGTCAGTTACCCATTATCGGAAATATCCAGTAGAGATTTGTGAGAATGGCCATGATGATGGTGGAAATAATAGTACAGTATTTGGTAATAGTACTAATGTCCACCATTAGAAAAACCAAGTTCTGCCATACTTAATAGGATTAGCTCGTTTTTTTTAACCCATTCTTGAGGTTGTGGACACCACAGTGTCCGTATGTAGCGGCGCTGAGCGAGCCGGCACTGTGGGCA